GTTCTCAGGTTGAAATTAAGGCAAAACTGGGTTCTGATTTAGCTCTGACTTATGAATCTGAGCAGGATTCAGGATGTTTTTTATGGAGCGGAACAGGACCCCCTGGAGCTGTGGCCTCGCTCCCTGAAGGTCTCCTACCACTCTCTTGCCAAGGTCACATTCTACCAGGCTAGATTTTCATCTACTTGGGAACCTGTGGATCTTCTGGTTGCCAGGGAGCAGTGATGGCTCTTTGTGCTATACAGAAACCATTTCCAAGCACTCTATGAGCCTTAGCCACAATTCCTGGGAGACCAAAACTCTTCTCCCTCATTTTACAGTAGGAGATCCTGGGGCCCAGAGAAAACAGAGCATCTTGTCCAAGCTCCCCTGTGACGAGGGGCCTCCTTCCTCAGACTCGATGTCCTTAATCAGCTAGGATGAGAATGGGTACCCACTCTGACAGCCCTGTGGCCTGCTGGGGTTTGGGTGGTGAAGCTACATGTATTCTCCCACTGAGACCCAGGGAAGCAGCCCTACTGAGGGCATGTCTTCCTCTTAGCGATTCCTAACTTCTGGGGGATTCTGGACCCTTCTGATAGCCGAGTAAGGTTTGGAACCCTTGTAAATCAATCCTTAGGATTAGCGGTTTCTGCAACTGTGTACACAACCAAGGACCAAAAATAATCTGAGAAAAAAACCGGGTGCAGTGGCAGCCTCAGGAGGCTGAGGCAAGATCGCTTGAGTCCAGGAGTTTGAGACCAGCCTGGGCAACATGAAGGCCCATCTCAAAAAGAAAATTTATGAAAAAAATTGTATTGTATTAAACATGTACGTATTTTTTTCTTGACATTATTCCCTAAACAACAAGTGTAGCAATTATTTACATAGTATTTATGTTGTATTCAGTATTATAAGTAATTAAGACATGATCCAAAGTCTACAGGAAGCCAGGTATGGTGATGCAGGCCTGTAATCCAACAATGGGGAGACTGAGGCAGGAAGGTCTCTTTGAGGCCAACCTAGGTTAAATAGCAAGACCCTATTTCAGTAAAACAAAACAGGGCTGGCTCAAGTGGTAGAGCCAGTGTCTACCATGCACAAGGTCCTGAATTCAAATCCCAGTACCATGGGGGAAAAAAGAAGTCTACAGGAAGATGTGTGTAAGTCATTGGCAAATACTATGCCGTTTTATTTATTTATTTGCAGTACTGGGACTTGAACTCAAGTCCTACACTTTGAGTCACTCTATCAGCTCTTTTTTGTGATGGGTTTTTTCAAGATAGGGTCTTGCAAACTATTTGCCTGGGCTTGCAGGCTGCCTCTGAACCTTGATCCTCCTGATCTCTGCCTCCTGACCAGCTAAGATTACAGGTGTGAGCCACCAGTGCCCAGCTACTGTGCCATTTTATATAAAGGATTTGAACATCCCAGGTTTTGGTACTTGAGGGGGGTCCTGGAACCAACCCTGTGGTTACCAAGGGACAACTGTGCATAGAAACAAAACTTTACATGCACAGTTTGTATGCGATTTCAGGGGGTTCAGGGACCCCAGGTTAGGAACCCCTGCTCTGCATTGTCACAGGGCATCAGTCATGGTTACTCAATTCTCATGACTTCCTGCAGCTACAAGGGAGGGATGCATTCATTCAAATGAATGAAGACCTTGGGGTCTTCATTCAGATTTCCAGGCCTCTAATAAGAACTGATCTCCTGCACCTTAGCTGCTAGACAGAGCACCTGGCCTCTTTAGGAGACCCAAGCAAATTACTGTACCACCTGGTAGGAGAAAGAAGTATGGTAAAAGAATGAGGCTGTCACCCTCAGATTCAAGGTTAAGTGAGCCCCTGTCTCTGTCAGCCTGCTTCTGGGGAGTAAGCAGAGAGTCCCACACTTGAACATGGAGATGACCGGGGAAGGAGTAGGGGCTGGCCTGGAGTCCTGTGGCTAGTTGTTGGTTTGGTTTTTTGTGGTACTGGCTTTGAACTCAGAGCCTTAAGCTGACTAGGCAGGCACTCTACCATTCCCCCAGCCCTTGTGGTTAGTTTTGAACTCAGAAATGTAAAGATAATTTAGAGAAGAGAAGTGAATTACTAGAATCTGAAGATGGGTTATAGAAAGTGGAATTACAGTCAAGTCCCAAATATTCAGCAAACATTTGTTAATACCGTCACTCTCAACCTGATTACTCTCCCCAGAAAGCTTTCCGTCAAGTGGGGAGATATTAATACAGGGCGTGGATTACCCATCCTCATAGGCCTGGCACACACTAGGCAAGCCCTGTACCAATACTCCGAATCCTTATTGCTCCTCCCCTCCCCCTAAGAAAAATTTTGACTTGACTTTTACTACTAGTTTAAAAATATGTCTGCGTTCCTTGACTGCCCCTTGAAAGTTAGACCATATCTTGTTTGGGATTCTTTTCCTAGGAAATAATTGATTGTTCTCTTCTGCTAGAGACCAAATACAGTAAAGAGCTTCAGTGAACAGAGAACTATAGATTAGATCTTAGGAAGAACTTTCTCCCAGTCTAGGTTGAGAGACTTTGAGTTACTTGAGGAACATGTGCCTCTTCACAGGAGATCTCCAGGTGTGGATGGACATCATTCTGCCTGAAAGCAGGGGAAATTCAAGATGGCCACATAGACACACAGTGTGGATGGACATCATTCTGCCTGAAAGCAGGGGAAATTCAAGATGGCCACATAGACACACACACACACACACACACACACACACACACACGCGGAAGTCCAAGAAGTTCTGGCTTCTGGCTCGACCCTAGCCTCTCCATCTGGTATCAGGAAATACACATCCAGGTCCCGTCGATTTTTGTACCTTTTCCAATTCTGACTCTTCTTTCTAGTCAGGACAGTTCAATGAGGACATGATCCCCACCGTGGGTTTCAACATGCGCAAAATCACCAAAGGGAACGTGACCATCAAGGTGAGGAGCAGGAGGCCGAAACTCCAGGCGTGAGCCAGGGGGCTTCAGAGAGCTATGATATTGTATGTGGCCCTTGGGAGCAGGGAGAAGAGAGTGGAAGATAGCGGGGGTCATCAGAGGGATGGGAAAGAGCCCTGGAGGGAGAGAAGGGAATTGGAAAGAGAGTAGGGCAGGCAGGAGGAACTGCTTGGGAGCCATGATGGGTTTTGGTTGCCTCCTTGCTTCTGAGCCATCTTGCCTTCTTCTTGCTCAGCTCTGGGATATTGGGGGACAGCCCCGTTTCCGAAGCATGTGGGAGCGTTACTGCCGAGGAGTGAGTGCCATCGTGTAAGTACAGGCAGCAAAGACCTCATGACTTCTGGGCCTTACCTGGTCTCCCCAGCCCCTTAGCCTGCAAGGACCTCAGACTTGGCACAGAATCAGATTAGATGTAGTCCTCCATCCACGGCCTACTGTCTGGGCATGGCCTTTATTTTTTATGCTGCTTGCTTGTTACTGAATAAATGTTCTTGACCCCACCACTCAAGCTAAGAACCAGGGCCCCAGCACACCACATGGGCTGTGCAATGCTCCACCTCATTGTCTCCCTGTCTCCCCCAACCCAAATCACCCTGTTTCAGATTTGGGGTAGTTTAAATGATCCATTCCCTTGCTTGTTAAAAATAATTTTGTCAGAGCTAGAAAGATAGCTCAGTGATAGAGCTCTTGCCTAGCATGCATGAGGTTCTGGATTCAATCCCCAGCATCACAATGAAAAAAACTCTTCAGCATATATATGCCCAAACAATAGATTTATATTTCCTGACAGAATAAATGATAGATGGTTTTTAAACCGGATTTTTTAAAAACGCATTTTGCTGCAAGAAACCCTTCTGGGGTTCCCTTTGATTTTCCACACTAGCCTTATCTAGGCTTTGCATAAAAACATAAATGATTCACTTTGGGCCAAACTTATAGCTAATCCTATGGGCCCAGTTTTGCCACAGAGGACAGGTTAAAGCAGCCCTAGGAGCTCCTGAGGCGTTTCATACCCATGGATTTGGGAAGCACTCACTGAGCCAGGCCAGGGTGGCCATAGCTCCTAAAGCTACCATGCTGATACCAACACAGATCCTCTTCCTGCCTGCCCTCAGCCCATGGTGTCCACATGCTGTCCTTGCCTGCCTTTCCCAGGTACATGGTGGATGCTGCTGACCAGGAGAAGATAGAAGCCTCCAAGAATGAGCTCCACAACCTGCTGGACAAGCCACAGTTGCAGGGCATCCCGGTCAGCCAGGGATGGAGAAGAGGGGTAGGGTGGGGGAGCTGGCCAGAAGTCACTGGAGGCAGACCTGGCCAGAAGAAAGCTGCATTGCAGGGGTGCCCTTGACCTTATCCTGTCCTCCCTCCTCTGTAGGTCTTAGTCCTGGGGAACAAGCGAGACCTCCCAGGAGCACTGGATGAGAAGGAGCTGATTGAGAAAATGTGAGTTTGATGGCTGTTTGTACTTCATTGAGTTCCTCTTAACCTCCCAGCTGCCATACTCCGGGGCTGGGCTTGTTGCTGTTCTTAGTATTCGCCACATGGTGGCACCAGAGCACACCTTTCCAGGTGCCTCACCCTCCTCATTGTAGCCCTTTGAGCAAGAAAAAGACCCTGCCCTCCTTTGGCCCAGGCCCCCTGGGGAGCCGAGCCTCAGCAGACTCTACTCTGGTCTCCCTGTAGGAATCTGTCCGCCATCCAGGATCGAGAGATCTGCTGCTACTCCATCTCCTGCAAAGAGAAGGATAACATTGGTGCGTGAATTTGGGGAGTGGTTGGTGCTCTAGGAGTGGCTGTGGGAAAGGGAAAGGAGTCTTGCATAGGGCTCTCAAAGGTTCCCGCTTCACTGCTTGCCTTTAGGCCAGAACTCTGTGGTCCTTAGGTGCAGCAAGCAGCCAGGGGGCTGGAGTCCTGACCATAACCCAGTTCTGCCTCACGGCTGTGAATCTTGGGCCACTCACTCCCTCTTCCTCACCTCTGAGATTATAGGGTTGGACCAGGTGATTCCAGGCTGACTGTGCATGCTGGGTGCTATCTCTTTCACAGTGCTCAGTCTCCCTACCACCCACTTGACAAGGTGGGAGCTCAACAGCTGTTGGCCTTTGGTAGTCTTAGGCTTGATCCTGGCTGAGGTTTGGGGACCCTGGACTTATTGCCACCACCACCCTGCCGGAAGACCCTATAACCTTCTTTCTTGTCCCCACCCAGACATCACCCTACAGTGGCTTATTCAACACTCAAAGTCACGGAGAAGCTGAGACTGCAGCCCTTCTCCCTCGGACCAGGGACTGCCGTCACCTAAACCTAAAGCCAAGCTCCCGCCCACCCTGTCATCCCCCACCCCCAAGCCCACCCCTCCTCTCTCAGTGTGGGGAGGGGCCTCTGGGGCTCCCAGAGTCCTGTTCTGCTGAGGTTTGAACTCCTGTTTTTATTGTAAAATAAATTGCCCCCCATCTGGTCCCCTAACCTCTCCCCCCACCCTTCTCTCTTTGTCCCTTCACCTAGCCCTGTCTCCCTCTTCTTCCAACAGCCGTGGCCCCACAGCCCCCGCTCCCCACCCCCTGCCCTCCTCTGGCCTACCCCCTACTTCCCTTTTCAACACTGTTATTGTCCTGTGTGTACAGTATATATATGTATATATATTTTAATTTTTTAATTTAAGCAAAGACTAAAATCAACCATTTGATGCTGCAGGGGCCATTTGGGGATCTAGGAGGGGGCAATCTGGAAAGAAAAGGAAAGAGGCAGAGTTGGCTGGGGGCAAGTTCACATCTGGAAAGGTGGAGGTTGGCACCTGGGGCCGGTAACAGCCTGGGCACTGGTGGCCACCCTCCCCCCATGTCCCTTGTGTTTCCGCCTCATAGTCTGGCTTGTCTGTGCACGGCTTGAATATCACAGGCTGGCAGGAGCCTCTAAAGGCACCTCCTCTCTGTCCCCAGCCATGGTAGAGCCACCAGGCATAACCAGATGCCAGAGACCACCAGGCCTAAGGGGCAAGAAGCCAGTGTCCATGATGCCCCCTCCCCTCTGCCTGCCTGTTCCTGGCCTCTGGGTCCTACCCCTACCCAGGGCCACCTCCATGACCCACCTCATTTTCTGTTCTCGTTTTGCAGAGTTGCACAAGGAGAGAACTCAGCATGGGGGGTTGGTTCTTTGGGTTTTGTTTTTTGTTTATTTGTTTAATTTAATGATTTGTAAAGTGATGTTCCTCTTCCTTTTTTACACTTTTCAGCTCATATTTAACCTCCATTTGGAAAATGATTCTTGTAACTACATTTTTTTTGCCTCCTAATAACAAGAACAATAAATTACCAATTTTGTGTTGGGGGCGTGTATGGTGCCAGTCATTTTCTGCAGATGTCACAGACTGACCAGCAGGCTCACAAGGACACCAGGACACCCCGCACACTGAGCCAAGCAGCAGGGAGCCCCACCCTCAGGGGACATGCACTCACACTGGAGACAACGATGACTCTCACAAAGCACTCTCCCACACTAGTGTCTGGGCTCTGCTCTTACCTCCTTCTCATTCTCTTCTCAGGCATTCACGTGTTCATAGCCTTGAGCTAGCAGCTGCCCAGTGGTGCTAAGCAGGTCTGTTGGGTCATAGTGACAGCAGGACACAACTGAAGGCCAGTGTGCTTGGACTGTGCTGCTGTTTCCATACAGCCAGTTCAGTCTTCAGCCCGTGTCTTTTTCAAGGCCCTTGACCATCTCTGCAGCCAGAGCCCACCCCCCTACCCCCAACCCCACTGTGAATAGTTACATGTCCTCTAGGACAGCCTGGGCCTGCAGAGCCTACTGGTTTTGCTGCCTGTCATGGTGTTATTGCTACTAGTTTCCTGGGAAGGGCCCATTTGAGTTCCTCTCACCCCACCTGTCTTGCTAGACCCCCACCTCAGTACCCAAGGCAGCTGCCTCAGAGCCTATAGGCATTGCTTACTCAAATCTGAGCCCATCTTGACCCAGTTTTACAGTAAGCCCCGCCTCCCCTCAGCCTCCATGTCACCCTGGAAAATGGAGCAGGCCCCTGCAGAATACCCTATTCCTTCTTGCCCCTGATGTTGCAGAAACAAGGTGTTCACTTGCCTTTAGTCCTATGCGAGGTACCCAGGGCTCTGCACCCTTAGCCTTCCCAGTCCTGAGCCCTCCCAGCCTCTTGCCCTCCATCTGTACCAGGACCTGTTCCTGGAGGCACTATCTAGCCACCAGAGAAATGCCCATCCTGGAGGTGCCATTTGCCACAGAAGTTTGAGGAAAAGGGCTGAGGATGTAGCACAGTGTACAATACTTGCCTGGCATGTGTGAGGCCAGGCCCTGGGTTTGATCCCTTGGAACATTAAAAAAAAAAAAAAAAAGTTTGAGGAAGATTGTGGATGGAATTTAGCACCAGAGCTAAATGATTCTCAGGTGCTCTGCAACCCCTAAGAAGTATGAAATATGCCCCTGGTTGAGGGTGGGCCCCTGCTGGTTGCAATGTGAGCTGCAAGCAACACACTAGCACAATGCTGGCATGCTTAGACCCAAAGAGGGGATGAAGAAGTTCACATTCAACAGAGAGCAGATCGTGCACGGTGTATGTAAGTCATTGGGTTTGGAGCCTTTGATGCCAAAACTGGATGAGTTTAGGAACATCCTAGCCAAACCAGCCCCATAGTATGAGATTCAAATTCCCCAAGGTGCCAGTTCCTGACACAGCTTGTCTCATTTAATGACCATAGTTCTATGTAGGAGGGACTGTTTCCGGTTCATTGATGAAAAGCCGAGACTGAGGTAAAGGGGTCACTCAGGCCCCAGGATAAAGGACAGAGCTGAGATAGAATAAGGCAATTTCCCCAAGTATAGGTGGGGCTCAAAGGATCTCCCCCAACTTCCTGCCCTGCCACTTGACATCAGGGTCCGAAGGCTGGTCCCCTGCAGTCCACCCTCTGGATAAGTGTCAGGGCTGCCAGGCGCCAGTGCTCACGCCTATAATCCTAGGTACTGAGGAGGGCTGGCGGAGTGGCTCAAGGTGAAGGCCCTGAGTTCAAGCCCCAGTATCGCAAGAAGAAAAAGAGTGTCAGGGCCTCCTCCAGGCATCCCAGCTCAAGTCCACCGCCCACCCTGAGCCAGCCAGCCTCCCCCCACCTCAAGCTTGGGACCCCTACACAACAAACACCACATTGTTCCCCAGCTGGCCTAGGCTGGAGGGACAGTGGCTCTTTCCCAAGACCGGCTGGCCTGCTGACTAATTCCGCAAGCCATTCACGTTGGCAGGCCTGGAAGGCAGCAGCAGTAGCAGAGCCTTGGAGCCATCATCTCCCCCTTCTGCTCTGAGCCAGCCAACCAGCAGGAAGGAGAGACAGAGGGTGCCCTTTGTGGAAAAGGCCCCCAAACAGGATGCTGAGGGGTCCCCCACCCTTGAGCCTTCCATCCTCAGCCCTCTCCCCGAGTTCACCCCAGATCACCCGGCCCCCTTCCTGCCTCCCTTAGGAAGCTATTGGTGCATGAAGGGCTGTGGTGGGGTAGGGTTCAGAAACGGGGGTAGGGAGGAAGCACCACTTGTCACCTCTGGCTTCAGAGCAGCAAGCCAGCCTTTGGCCCTCTCTCCAGCCCCATCTAAAGTTTCTACAGACAAAGCAGGGGGCTTTGGTCACTGTGGCAACAGGTCTGCTGAGAAATGGGTGGGTGTCATTCCCCAGCACAAAGGGTGTACGCATGGCAGTGCCATCACCTAGCAACAGCCTCCCTCTCTCTTGGCGGCGTCATTGGCCATGGGGGTGGGTTCCAGGAAGAGAGAACAAGGCTGTTAAGATCCCGGGTGGTGGTGGTGGTGGGGAGGGGGGTAGGGAGAAGACTCAGCCACTGGGCAGGCTGAGGCCAAAGGGTGTGGGTGGCTGGACAGAAGCGAATGAAGCCCGGACCACAGGACCACTGGGACCCTGTGCTAATGGGTGTTCTAGGTAGGCCAGGTGAGCAGGAGTCTTTGGTGGGACATGTAACTGTACTTCCAACTGGGGAGTGTGGTTCTAAAGAAAATTGGTCCTATGGGGCAGAGAGTTAGTGGCTGGGGCTGAGCATCCCTTCTGCTTGATGTCATGCCAGCTTTACAGGAACCTACAAGACTAAGGTCCCCCTCACAAGGACCCAGAGGTGGAGCTTGGGGAAGCAAGTTCTAGAACAGGGATCAGCAGGAGGAGGTGCAGGCTCTGCTGGGGACACAGGATGGAGCCCTGGTGGGGGCAGGGTGGGGGCAGGCAGGGGACAGGCAGCTGGGCCGTCTACAAGCAAAACATTCTGTTCTAAGAATTCAAACAAGAGCTGCTCTCAGATGAGGGAGGCTGGGGAGCCCTGTGGTTCACATGGGCAAGTTCCTCAAATGGGGGCTTTGCTTGGAGAGTGGACAGGAGGGGTGGGCTCCAAAGGAGATAAAGTGGCAGCCTTTTGACCCCCCATGGACTGCTAGGTTTAGATCAGAAGGACAACTTGGTCCCCCAGCTCCACAACCCCAAGTCCTCCTTCTTGTCCCTCACAGGTCATAACGTTCTTGGAATCCCCAGAGTCAGACTTTGGCAAGGGCCAAAGGTGATCCTTAGGGTACTGCCTCGCCCTAGGAAAGGCCCAGGTGCATCTGAGCACTGCCAGGACATTAAAAAAAAAAAATGTTATGGGAGGGTGAGACATGGTGGTTCACACCTGCAATCTCAGCTACTCTAACTTGGGAGGCAGAGATCAGGAGGATCAAAGTTCAAGACCAGTCAGGGCAAAAAAGTAAGTGAGACTTCATCTCAATAAACAAACATGCCTGTGATCCCAGTACACAGGTAAGAGGACCATTGTTTAGGCCATCCCAGGACAAACAGTGCAAGACCCTACCTAAAAAATAACTAAAGCAAAAAAGGGCTGGTGGTGTTGCCTTAAGTTCAAACGCCAGTACCGCCAAAAAAAAAAAAAAAAAAAAATCAGTGGGCACAGGAGTAGTACTGCCTAGTTTATTGTTTTTCAAGAAGGGCCTTCTATAGGACAGCACCTAGTGAGGGGTTCTTGGACAGGACAATGTGGGTACTCAGAGAAAGGAGGAGGGAGGAGAGATTGAGAAATCTCCAGAAGAAGTGGGGGAGGGCCAGGGCTAGAATAGATCCAGCTCAGAGAAAAGGGTCTGAGATCCTGGTCAGGTGGTCCCCAAGGAGCCCCCATTCCAGGTCGGGGCCCGGAAGGTGGAGAGCAGGGAGATGCTGCTTGGAGAGGGCTTAGCTAATATATAGTCAGGTTCCAAGGCAAACGAGAGCGAAGTAGGGCTGCAACCAAGACAGGGCAGGCCAAGTCCTGGCTTCTAGCTGACAAGACTGACAGACGCTGGGCAGCTGTCAGGACCCAGTCCAGTGGAAGGGACAAGACTGCAAGGTCCCTCAATGTAACAGGAAAGGACTGGCTTGGGAAAGGGGCTTTGACAATCCCAAACCTTGACCAAAGGAGCCAAGTTCATCTCTAGACAGCAAGACAGGCAGCAAAGCAAGACCTATGGGGAAAGAATCATCAGACACTGGCTTGGGCTGGAGTGACTGCTCCAAGCCTACTCTGCCCCTGCTCTTATGCCCCTATCCCTGCTTGGGCCTGACCTCAGCAGGGCGTGCCCAGGGGTAGGAGTGGGGGAGACTCCCTGGGCTTATGGAAGTAGATAGAGGAGGACACCTCGGTCTTAAGCTTGCTGTCCGAGCCATCGGTGGCCAAGGCCTCTGAGGCCCCACGACATTCCTCACAGCAACAGCAGCAGCAGCAGTCCAGGAAGGCCTGGCCCAGTGGCCTGCAGACACACAGAAGGAGCACAGGGGTAATGGTACCCTTGAAGAAGGTGGAGAACTGATTGATGAGGCCCAGGAGGTCCAGCGTCTGGCGCGTCAGCTCAGTGGAGAGGTAGGCCACCACGATGTTGCACACATTCTCAGGCAGGGTGCAGAAGGCGTAGACCACAGTCAGGCCCACTACAGTGCTGTTGAGTTGCCTCTCACACTGCTCGTGCTTGCTAGCCCTGCATTCAGGCTTCCTGCCCGGTGGGCCCCGCACCCGCCATGTCACCAGCTGGCAGGTGACAGTGAAGAGGATGGGCAGGCAGAAGTAACAGCCAAAGTACCACCACATTCGGGCATTCTGGTAGGTCATCACCAGTGAGTAGAGGGACTCAGGCAGGCTGGCCGAGGGTTTCATGATGCATGAGTCCACAGTCCCTGTGGTGGGGGCTGGCTCCTGTGCCAGCTGCCACAGCAGGAGCTCAGGCACAGCCAGTGTCATGGAACCCACCCAGATGACAGCCAGCTTCGCCAGGATTGACTGGCACCGCTCAATGGGCCTCACCTTGGGCAGGGTGCTGGTAGCCACGTGGAAGCGGTCAATACCCAGTGCACAGAGGCTAAAGGTCGTGACTCCCAAGGAGGAGACCTGTGAGCAAGGATGAGGAGGAAGACAGAAGAATGGTCAAAACCTATGAGGACAAGGGAAGAAGGCAGGGTTCCTGGCAGAGTCAGATCTTGAATTGCATCATAAGCATAGAATAATAGCAATGGTAACCGCTATTTGGCAAGCTTTTTCTACCCATCAGGAATTTCCATACATCACCAAACCCTCAACCAACCATCTTACAGAAGAAATCGTTAGACAGGAAAACTGACTTGCCCAAGATCACGCCTTCTTCTTTCTACCTCTTGGGCTTGGAGCTGCTGAGTCTGCCTCCCACAGTCCCCAGGGCTTCCCAAGAGACTCAAGAATCATCTCTAAGGAAGAAGGACTGGCAAAATGAGCTCCTGCCTAGCAAGCATGAGGCACTGATTCAAACTCCAGTGCCACCAAAAACAAGAATCATCTCTAAGGAAGAAAGAAGCAGGACAGAAACGGTGAGCAGCTCCCACTTTCTGCACCCACTTATGTGCATCCAACGGGTGATGGTCTTGGGGCCTACACACACACACACGCTCGCGCTCTCTCTCTCTCTCTCTCTCTCTCTCTCTCTCTCTCTGTCTCTCCAGGGCCTGGCAGTGTGGGGAGCAGCCTCCCTTGGAATGACCAGTGTCCACCACCCTCACACACTATTCATGGAGTGCAAAGGAGAAAGCAGGCTGTGAGCGAGAGGAAGCAGGCTGAACAGCAGGAGAGTGCCAGTGAGCGGAAAGGAGAGCCCTCAGAGCTAGCAAGTGATGTTTCACCACACTCAGGGACTGTGCTCCCATCCCCTCTCCTGTCCAAATTCTTCCCTCTTCTGGGGGAGAGGGGAACACAATCCCTGGTTTATTTGCACTGCCACCAAGTGTCCTTTGTGAAAAACCCAACCCCCTCTCTTGGCAGTGCAGCCCAGCCCAGTGGAGAAGTGGCAAAAACACCATTCTCTCTCCCTGCATCTCAGAATCTGTCTCAAGTTTTATTTCATGCTGCTTTTCTCCCTCCCTCCTAGGGGACACCTTGAAATCCTTTCTACAGGAGAGTTCTGGGGCAGTGTGTTTTGTGTGCCCACTCCCATCCCATCTCCCAGCCTACAGGGAGCACCTCTATCAGCTTATGGATCTTCTCTATCCTCCAGAAGTAGGGGCAGGGCAGATGATGGGGGCAGGGGTCCAGAGCCTACATAATAGGTATGTCAAGTCCAAAGTCAGTTCGGGCCAGGTGTGCATTGACCCAGAAGGGTTCATACGTGTCTGCCCTCCTCCCATTGTACTATTCCCAAATAAAAACAGACATATACTGAATTATTTTCATTCTAAGCATTTTATGGACACTACCCATTTTAATTCTTCAAGAATTGACCCTGGGGACTGGAGGTATGGTTTAAGTAGTAGAGTGCCTGCCTAGCAAGTGTGAAGCCCTGAGTTCAAACCCCAGTACCACACACACAAAAAAAGGAATTGGGCCTGCAAGTGTTGCTCAGTGGTAAGCATGTTCTTACCACTTAGCTTGTTGCTCAAGCTAAGCACATTCTTAACTTGTGTGAGGCCCTGGGTTCAATCTCCCAGCACAGAAGAATTCATTTAGGTAGTTAATTATTATTAACATCATTATCATTATTCTTATTGGGACTGGGGTTTGAACTCAGGGCTTCAAGCTTGCAAAACTGGTACTCTACCACTTGAGCCACACCTCCAGTCCATTTTGTTGTGGTTATTTTTGGAGATGAGGTCTTGAGAACTATTTGCCTGGACTGGCCCTAACCTCCTGATCTCAGCCTCCCAAGTAACTAGGATTACAGGCATAAGCCACTGGCATCCGACTCAGGTAGTTATTATTATTCCCAACTAATAAATGAGGAAATTGAGGTTTTAGGCAGGTTAAGTAATTTACGAAGGTCGCTCAGCTAGTGATGGGCAAATTCTAGTTTCTAATCTAAACTGTCTAATTCCAAAGTCCTGTGTCTAACTAAGCTCACCTGGGCTGTGAGCATGAGATGATGAAGAAAATGACATGGCTATCCTGAGTTGTGGGGTCTCTTTTCAGGTGGAGTAGCTTCGGACCACCAATGGATGGTCTCCCCGTGTTGGGGAGGATAGGAAGGCCCATTCCAATTGCTGAGCCTCAGAGTCTGTCTAACCATGAAATCATTGCTAATAGCAAATTGGGAAGGAAGCTAGGATTAGGACCAAGTCAAATGCCTGATCCTGATTCCTTCTCCAGACAGGCAGGTCACCCATGTCATACAGATCTCTTCCACAAAGAAATAGCAGCTATACAGGGAACCCATGCTCACTACCATCTTCATTATTCCCCCATGGAGCCAAGATTTAAAAGGCTGCTCTCCTATAGAGACAGCAACCTTCCTAATGCCCTGCATAGATGCACTTCACAGATATATGTTTAGTGATTTAACTAAGCTGTCTCCATGTGATCTACACATCCTTTAGCAGCCATGTACACAGAAAAGGTATACTAGTATACTTGAGAGCTGTAGAACAAGCCAGCTAGAAGGACCATCTGGTCTACCTCCACCCTTGGAAGAGGGAAATGGGGAAAGAGATGTGATCCTTCCAGCAACACCAAGAAGGTCGATGACAGGGCTGAGAACAGAGCCTCCACCGGCTCTAGTGTCTAGAAATGAGTCTTGCCTTTCAGAGAGAATTCAGGAGGTTACAGCTGACCATGAAGAGGACAATAACCACAGTCAGGATGAGAATAAGGGCCTGCCCTCCTGTGTTCACGCTCACAGGGAGTGGTCCCCTGCCTAACCTGGAGGTATCTGTAGGAAACTGGGGCCTCCTTCAGACACTGCTTAGAGAGGCAGGATATGGAGGAGTAAGAAGAGAACTGTGGGTGCAGAGCAGCAGCAGGGGGCACAGAGGAGAGAAAGGAGATTTAACAAAGGACAGAGAGATTTCCTGGGTGGAGGAATGGGGGAGGGTCAGCTTGGGATCTAGAGAAACCTGAAGGTGGGTTCCTGTGTTTTGTCCCTACTCCCACCCCATCTCCCAGCCTGGAGGGAGCATCTATCAACTCATGGGTCCCCTCTGTTCTCCAAGAGGTGGGGCCTGCAAGGCCAGAGGCTGGAGCCCAGGGATCCTGCACACCTGCCTGGTCCTCTGGGTTGCCTTGTTCTCAGAGCTGCCAGAAACCAATGCATGTTTGTCTCCTTCTCCAGTTTAGGGGAGAAGGAGCAAACTGAGTCCAAGCTCCAAGGCTCTAGGATTCTGCACACACACAGATTTGCCTTCCAGGACCCAGCTACAACTTTGAGCCCTTTCCCTGGGCTGCAGCCCCATGGTTGAGCTCTAGAAGGGCACACACTCACCTCCATGAAGGGTACAGCCCGGCAAGAAATGTCACCCAGCAGTCTCTGCTTGGTGATCTCATTGAAGATGACAACAGGGAGGCAGAAAAAGAGGATCAGGAAATCCCAGAGGGCCAGGCTTGCAAGGATGGAGTTCCAGGCGCTTTTCAGGTAGTAGCTGTGCCACACGATACACATGACCGAGAGGTTGCCCACGATGCCCACGGCAAACACCACCAGGGCCAGAAGCATGATGGCGTAGGCGCTGTAGGAGCTGTCAGTCAGCGGATACAGGGGGTTCTGAATCTGCAACCTCTGACCTGGCATCCCTGTCAGGTTGCCCCTGGGCTCCTGCCCGCTGCCTGGGGTGCCCCCATCCTTGTCTGGGTTAGGGCTGGTGGCCACCAAGGATTTGGTGGGCTGCAGGCTGGCAGGGTGGAATGGCCGGGGGTACTCAGCCCACTCCCCTGGCACATAATGCTGAACTTGCTTGTCCGCCTCATCCTCGGTGCCTCTCCTGGGTCGACTCTGCAGCTCCTGGCCCTTGGGGCTGTGTCTGTCTGAGGACGAGGGGGCACCCCCAGAGACCCTGCTCAGCCCCGCAGCCAACAGCACAGCAAGGGAGCCAGCCAGGGGCCACAGGCACCGCATGATCAGATGAGCAGGACGCAGCTGCCCCAGGCAGAGCAGGTGAGGGCAAGGAACACAATTGCTGAACAGAATCAAGAGAGGCAGCTGGCTGCTGGGTCCGCCTCCAGTCAGGCGTCTGGCCTGACCGGCCCTCCCATCCCACTGGCCACTGGCTAGCCAGGGCCCTCTGCTGGACACTGAGCAGTCTTTGCTGCCTCCATGACATTCCTTCTAAGCTCTTGAGGACCACAGCAGGTCAGACTGTGTGGCCCTCACAGGGACCTGTTCTAGGTGCTGGGATCAGGGAGGAAATGTGGCTTGCAGGAAGGCAGGTCTGATTCTAAGGCAGCTCCTGTATTCAAAATTGAGAGATATGAGCCAGGTCCTGTGGTACATGCCTGTAATCCCAACACTTAGAAGGCAGAGACAGGAGGATGAAAAATTCAAGGCTAGCCTGGGCTATATAATGAGGCCCTATCTCAAAATAAACAAACAAACAGAAAACCTGAATGAGCTGGCACTGGTGGCTCACACCTGTAATCCTAGCTACTTAGGAGACAGAGGTCAGGAGGATCACAGTTCAAAGCCAGCCTGGGCAAATAGTTCATGAGACCCTATCTTGAAAAACCCCTCTTAACCAGGTGCTAACACTTAAACAAAGGGTATTTTGAGCCAGACACAAGGTGAATGAACATTTCCAACAGCATGTCTTCACTTCGTGCCTGTTGTGCCCTAGACTGCCATCGAGGAGCTCTTAGTCCCGAGGGAAAATAAACACACAAATAAAGAATTACAATTCAGATGATGCTATGAAAGTCCAGCATCACCATACAGAGGGAGGTCAGAAGAGCCTGGGGTATCTGGAAGGTCTCCAAAAGTGATGTGACATTTGAGTGGATCTGAAAACTGCGTTGGCAGACTCAAGGAAGGAAAGATGTCCTATGCCAAAGACACAGAGTGCTGGAAAAGTAGGTGATAGTCCTACAAGCAGCAAGCATGTGGAGGAAGATGAATACAGGGGAGACAGGACAAGAGATCAGCAGAGGAGGCAGGAGGAAGGATTTGTTATGCCAGACCACGGACTTAAGACTATCCCCAAGGCAGTGGAGAGTGGTACAGGTTGTTGCCCAGGGCAACAGTGATTCAACCAACTTACTTTAGAGGGGTCTCAATGGGTACTGGACTCCTGGCAGCCAGAGCAGAGGGATGCAAAGGCTGGAGAAGCCCAGCTTTCAGGAAAGCCAGTAGCACTGAGGGACTCTGGCTGTGTATGGGGGAAGAGGGGGAGTGAAAGAGGTAAAGGTCAAGGCTGACTCCAGGTGTGGTGGACATATCCATCTGTGCAGGACATATCAGGAGCCCCTGGTGTGCCTGGGAGGTACACAGAGCTCTGTTTTGTCCACGTGGAACTTGGTGGGCCATGGTGGCTGGAGGAGATTCAGGAAGGAGAAATCTGCAACTCAGAAGGGTTGAGCAGTCAGGGGCTTAAGCACCAAGCTCCTAGTTAGAGTAGGGAGGTGGAGCAGACTGCCACAGAGTGTGTGGAGCACGTGCGGGGAGGGGGTGAGGCAATGGAGGACCACCCCCCGCCCCACTCCGACACACACATGTAGGCAACCAGAGAAAGGGACACTCAAAAAGAAAATGCAATAAAAGGAGCCAAAGCCAGGTGGCTGTGCTGCCACTCCACAGGGCCTCGGAAAAGAGGAGAAGGGGACCTCTTTGGCCAGAGCTGGAAGTCACTTACAGTCAGTTAGCAAACATTAGCAAGGACTGCCTGGGAACAGGATCCCCACCTGGAGGCAGCTTTCCTTAAGACTTCCCATTTGAGGAAGTGACAGTCCAACTCAGAAGGTCCCCACATGCTGTGCGAAAATAGGAGTCCCAGGACAAAAGGGCGGTGGAGAGGAAGAACAGTATAAGATTGACATTCCCTCTGCTGAGGTATCAGACAGATCAGTTGGGAACTCAACTGTCCCCTTGCCTGTGGTCACAACCATCCAGGTCCCCACAATGGACAGAAGAAGCTAGGATTCCCAGTGTGTGCACAAGCTACCTCCTCAGAGAGTTTGGGGAGAGCACGGTAGAACACACAAAGGGTACTGCGCCCATCTCTGACTGTTCAGTCCACGCTCAGAATGGAGCTTCTCTAATTCCCTGAAGAATTGACTCTTGACTCTTGAGTCAATTCTGTGTCCCAGAGTGACTCAGATCGCTCTACTCCAACTCCCACGACATTTGGCTGCTCATTGAAACCTGCCACCTTCTGCCTTGTGGTGGGGTTATTTGGGTAAATAGTCATCACTATTTGAATCATCTGCATTTTGCATGACAGGCTCTGACCTAAACACTAGGTATAATTGTCACTTAAGCTTTTACCCAGGTTCAGAGAAGTAAAGTAACCAGCTCAAGGACGCACAGCTTGTGAATGACAGCTGGGATCCAAATGAAGATTTATCTAACCCCCAAGCTAAAATTCTGCCACTCCTTTGTGTAGTTTATGGATTTTTTTTTAACTGGCAGAGAACTTAGAGATGATCTACGCCAACCCTCTTATTTTTCAGAAGTGGAAACTGAAAACCAGAGAGGTCAAGGGCCAAGGCTGGGCACTCAGCAATCCCAGCTCTGCAATGGAGTCCTCAGTACTCCACAGACAGAAGCCAACAGGGTATAGGTCCTAGAACCCAGTGCATGAGGATGTTCAAGCAAATATTGGTCCTTTATATCCTGACTATGTCCCCACCCCACTTCACATTGCACCAACCCCGGACACCCTGAGTGCATGGAAGGGCGCTCCCTCTGCTGGTCTCTGTTAGAACAGTTGGAACACCTGCGGCCACTAGGTGGCACCAAATGCTTAGTGATGGAAACTAAGGGCCTGGTTTCAGGCCAGGGCCCCTCCCATCCTAGCCCAGTCCAAAGACTGTACTGTCTGAGGTTGTGGGAACAGAGGTGACAAAGTGGGTTCCCAGAGAGCAAAGGGCATGGTGGACTGTGCCCGCCGTTTCACCACCGTTCCTCAGGGTGCTCAGCAAGGGTCTCACAAAAGTGCTCTTCACCTATTTCTGCTTCTGCAGGATGAGTCCTCTCTCTGCACCAAGCTGGAGACACCAATCATTCTTGTTCAGAGCACTCTAGGCAGGAATCAAAGATTTTTTCCAGCCCTTGGGAATGTCTGTTTATGATCCCAGGAATTCCCCCATTCTTCTCCCTGGGAATTTCCCAATGGCAGTTTCAGAAAAGGCAGTTAGAAGGGACAGAGTGGCAGAGAGGCTGGGGCTGTCCCCTGGCACTGAATGAGGTGAGGGCCTCCAGGTGATGTGGCAGTGTGGTCCATGAAAATAATAAGAACCCATGTTTCACTGAGAAAGTACCTCACACCAGGTCTGCTGCAAGCCAAGAGCGGGAATGCACGCTGCACCCAGACCGCCTAGGCTCAACTCCCAGCTCAGCCACAATCTGCGGACATGGGGTTTTGTGTCAATGCTACCTCTGCCTTAGCTTCTCATCTGTAATATGGGTACAACAGCAGAGGATGAAGAGGTCCTCTATGCCAACCACTAGTGTCTGGCACATGGGAGCACTGTTTAGCTACTAGTGAGAATTAATTCATTTAAATTCTCACTGCAGCCTTATGAGCTAACATGCTATCTGTTTCTTCATTTTACAGAGAGGTAGGAGGCAGCTGAAGAAGAGGAAGGCAAGTTCTAGGACAAGCCTTTCCCTGCCAGAGGCAGGAACATCTCTCTCTGGCCTGCAGCTGATACAGACAGGCTGACCCCCACCGGATGCTGCTGTGTTGATTCTCTACGCTCTGGACTCCCGGGCCCAGGGGCCACTTGGGTCCTGCTCTGGAGGACAGGCAAAGGGTCACCGGGGGAAGGTATGCTTCTAAAAGTCAGGGATCTGAGACCTAGTCCCAACTCTTTGGCTAGCTAGCCCTGTAGTGACAGTAATTAGTGTCACTCATTTGCAAATATCACTGAGCACCTATTTTGTGCTAGGCATTGTCCTAGATACTCAGAAACAGAATGAAGGGTACAGCATGATCCCTGTCCTCATGAAATTCACCTTCCAGTGAAGGAGGCAACCACTGAAAAACCTAAACCCCAAATAACCTAACCTTCATCCTGAGATGAAAGACATGGAAGGAAAGGACAGGATGCCATGAGGTCATGGGACCTGTCCCTCTGTTAACTTACTGCCTGGTAAGAGGTGAGGAGTGCTTTCCTGCTATTGAGATAAAATATGGCTGTGCATGTTGGTTCATGCCTGTAATCCTAACACTGAGGCAGAGGCAGGAAGGTCATAAGTTTGAGGCCATCCTGGGCTACATAGCAAGGCTCTGACTCAAAAAATTAAAAAAAGCAAAAAACAATAAAAAAGAAAGAGAAGAGAAAAGAGGAAAAGAAAAGACGAGCTGAGCTCTGGTGGCTCACACCTGTAATCCTAGCTACTCAGGAGGCAGAGATCAGGAGGATCGCGGTTCAAAGTCAGCCAGGGCAAAAAGTTCATGAGACCCTATCTTGAAAAAAAAAATCACAAAAAAACGGGCTGGTAGAGTGGCTCGAGGTGAAGGCCATGAGTTCAAGCTCCAGCATTAAAAAAAAAAAAAGAAGAAGAAATGTGACTTGATCTGACTTGTGGAAAACCCACCAGTGGGTTCTGTTCTGTCCCCTGGAAAGACAATGCATACGCATGGATAGGATCAAGTCTTGTGACAATCATTAGACATAAAATCAAATACATAGGAGAGGGGCCACAGTTGCTGGTGGAGGTGGACAGAGGAAGGGGAGGGCTGGAGAGTGACCAGTGGCTTGGGTGACTCAAAGGCGAGGAAGGATTTCTTCAGGGCACCCTCAGGGTAGGAGTGAAGGAGCCACTCTGGCAGAAAGAAAGGCAAAAGCTTCGGGCAAGGAGGTAGTTGGGGAAGAAGGGGAAAGGCACCCTGCTAGGTGGAGCCCACTGTCACCCTGCCCTTGTCATAAGACCAGGCAGTTGAACCAGGTCAGGGGTGGGCTGAGGCCTTGTCTCCCTGTCCCCAGCATTCTAGGCACATTGGACTGTTGCCCACAGTCTTCAGGCAGCCAGTGGGAGGGCCTCT